GAGCCCCGTTCGTAGCGTTCTTGCTCCTAGTAGCGATGCCAGGAGCCTCTAGTAGCGTCCTTGCTCCTAGTAGTACGGCCAGGAGCCCCTAGTAGCGTTCTTGCTCCTAGTAGCGATGCCAGGAGCCCCTAGTAGCGTCCATGCTTCTCTTCTCGTGCTCTTCTTTTCTCAACTACTCTTCCCGTCTCGACATGTCCCACGCGAAATTCGTTCTCACCCTGAAACAGGCAACACCTTCGTCGATGCTGTCATGCCCTCCATCCAGTGGGGAGGACGGCCTCCGACCGTGGCGTCCGCACCGACCGCACCGGATTGGCCCCGCCGGGTTCGACCAGGCTGGGCCGAAACTGGGATGGTGGAGGACTTGGGCATCGAGCCGCTGGGCAAACAAGCAGGCGGAACAGCAGGCGGTATGGTGAGCTTCAGATCCGTCGGAGCCTCCCGTGGGTGGGTGGCCGAGATTGCCTGAGGCCTTTGGCCGGCGAGCGCTTCGTGCCGGTGAAGGATGGTCTGGAGTGTTTCGGCCGCATCCTGGATGCCAAGGCCGGGAATGAATGAAACTGGGCACGCCAACCTGATGCAATGAACATGGATTGCAATCTTCTTTTTACTGCACGTCAGGAGAGAGCCGTGCCATTGGCCGTCTTAGATGTGTATCTTGGCAGACTGGTGACTGGATGCTGTCGTTTTCTACGAAACAGGTCAAACCTACCTCAAACTTCAAAGACTTTTTTCGCTTGTTTCACGAACAGACACATGTTCTTTGCAGCACAGACCTGAGGCATTGGCCAGTCTTTCGACATCAGACCAACGTCTTTGCCGTCGACGATCCACTGCTCGCCACCATTGAGGCGATGTCGGATGGATTTCAAGCCTCAGAAGGACCAACACCGGTTCTTCAGAAAGGGCACAAATTCCATCCGTGACAAATATGCCCGGGCTGGCTTTTTCCGGCTTTGGGCATCGGCGCAGGCGGAGATCCCTGCGCCGAGCCCAGATCCTTTGAAGCAGGCGATGACTTCCACTTCTTCAGCAAGTCGATGCTGCAGACCTTAGTCGACTTCTGTAGTTTGATGATAAACTCATCTGAGGTTTATCATAATTCCCCGACCTTTTTAGTCGTTTTAGTGGGTGGGGGCGACTTGTCTTATACACCTCCGATGTTGAAACTCTTGGCTTTGCTCAGACTTGACCGATTTCTTCGTTGCAATTGAAAGGTGTGGACCGTTGGCTCTGCTGGCAGCCGACATCGTGGCACCCGAAGGGGTTTGGAGCTCTGCCAGCAGCATGTGGTCAGTGGCATTGCAGCTGCTCGACATCAAACCTCTTCTTTCGGTCAGATCCGTCAAAGACCCGTGACAGCTTTGGAATGTTTAGTATTGACCCCACATCCATCTCTGATGCCATTCTCGGTCTCTTCAGACACTCGTAGGCGATCTCTGATGGCATTTTGGACTCTATATTAGGTCTTGTGAGCATCGCCGGTCGTTCCGTGTAGGTTCCGGTTCTGGGCTTGGCACAGCTCGAGCTCTGTGGTTGCTCACCTGTTGTTCCGAGGTGCTGCCCGGCTCCGCGCTCCTGTCGCTGGCGCTGGAGGTCGCGTCGCAGATCCTGGGCACGGAGACGGTGCAGCTGCAGGACGGGGCGGGGCAGTCGAAGTGACGGGATTGGCTTCAACCTTGAAGCCAAGACCCTTCAGTCCTGCATACTGAATTGCCTGAGTTCAAGTGGTGGCCTAGAAAGTTGGTGATGAATGAAGCCAATGACATGCGAGGACGTGAAATTCCTGATGCCATTGGAGCTGCAAAGTGTTCGTCAATTGACGCTCTCAGTCACTAAGACCACTTCAGGTGGGATTTGCGTTGAGCAGCTTGCTCCGGGATTCTTTGCCCTCGGAAGTGAACTCATGAGCAGTTGAAAGAAGAGACGCTTCTGCCAAGTGGGTCTGTGTTATTTGCATATTTGCTTTTTTTGCTGTTTCTTTGTGGTTGTTTTCGCTTCTGTGTTCCTTTCACTGACACAACTGAAGCCTTTTGTGTTTCTGGAAGCTCAGAAGATCCGCGCTGCTGCGTTCAGGTGGTTCACTCCGCTTTAGCAGCCGAGCTGACGGCCATGAAGCAGAGCCTCGGCGGGCAGCAAGACAAAGGAGCTTCATTCACAAACACCCCCTACCCAACGAATCATTTCAAACAGCAAAACCTCTCGGACGGAGACATATTTTTTTGTTTGGCTCATGGGATGTTTCTTGCTTTCTATGTGTTATTCTGTTTTTGCTTTCCGTCCCGTCCCCCGAAGATGTCGTCTCCCTTTGGCCCTTGTCTCCGGTCTCCGGTCTCTCCCAACCGTCTAAGGACTCCAAAGAGGCTTTGCACTGTACGGCCAACTTTACGGCCGCGGACCTGGTGCAGCGTCCGAGGTTTCAGGTGCCTAAAGGGTGATCCGGTCGCCGGTCGGATGCGACGGGTCGGATGCGACGCGGGTCGTGAACGGATTCGTTTCGGCTTGTGGCGGGTCGTGAACGGCCACCGCATGGCGAAATGAACGGAAAAACTGAACATGGCAGAGATTGCCTCCTTTTCCAACTGATGTTACATTTTGATGTCTTGTTCCAACTGATGTCTCATTTTTTAGAGCCACCATCCGAGGCCTGTTTTTGGAGATTTTCGGACTCGTTTGGACTCTCTAAGCCCTCCAGAGCTCCTCCGTCCTCCGTTCACCACTGGAGCGCGCCCTGACTTCAGGGAACGCTGACGCCGGTGGAGAGAATCTACGTTGCTTGGGACGAATCGGACGAATCGAACAGCCGTTGGTGTTTCATGGAAGACCGGTGGTGTGTTGAATCACCGAGGAGAACTTTTCTGCAGCTGGGTACTTCTATGGGCCAGACTTCCAAGGTGCATGTTGCGGAGTTGAATGCCCAAATGTTGTTTTCTTTAGGTTGCTCTCGACTGAACAATGCATCATATTGTCATACTCTGTCATTGTGAAACAAAGCTGGACACGTCATAGCATGATTTTCTTTACAAGCCACCGCTTGTAATTTCTTGTGCAAAGAGAGGCACATGACCAAAACTTGGCACAAGGATTTTCTCAGCTTCGAGGCCACAGCTTCGGTGTGGGAAGTGTAGCTGTGTGCTCCATGCCGACCAGTGCTTCGCGAGGCTGGACATGATCGGACGATCCTTCAAAGTCGTCCTCCTTGAGTGTTTAAATGTGTAAACAGTTTAACCACTCTGGCTAATGTTTTGGTTACTTCATTTAATCAAAATTCATCCATCCGTTCAACTCATTGGTGTGCTTCTTGGCTTCTTGATCATGTTTCTTGTTTGGTTGGTGCATCCGTCCCAGATTTTGTCCTGGATCCGGCGCACTTGGACATTGCGATGCAGCTGGCCTCTCTGATTCATCCCTTGGGGATGCGAGGCTGGACGATCCGAACCGGGAGCGCCGGCGCGACACCGAACCAGGTGTGTTTCCTAAGTTCTGAGCGAAGTCAACCAGGCATCGGAGTTTGGAAACATACTCTGTGGTATGGAGCATGTTATTTAACTTAGTACTACATCGACCCCCATTGTGACATTTCCAGTGCTACATAGTCAATATGTCATTGACCATTTGGAGTCTTTGGCAGGTGCTCCGCAGTCCATCCGCCGGCTGACGGCAAAGGCACGGAAAGACCTGCACGTGATCGCACGCACGTGGACACCACACGCCCGAGGGGTCTGGGCACCCGCGGTTTCCCGGGTGGCCGAGAGGTTGATTCATGCGACTTCGGGCGAGCGGCGGTTTCTGGAAGACGAGGAAGACTCACTCGTCTTTGGCCAGTAGAAACGAAGGGCTAAACCAGCAAGTCTGATGTTCCAGGATTCCAGAATCACACTCGGCTCTTCCTTTCTCCGAATTGCTTGCAAATAAATCGCCAACCTCGCAAAGAACCAGCGCCTTTTGTACAGTCATTCTGTGATATCAGCACAGAGAGCTCTTCGAGTTCATGTGTTCCATTTGCTCAGCAGTATCCGGTGAGGTGATTGCTGTTGTGGAAGAATATGAGGGGAAATCTGCTGTTGGGGCAGTTGGCGGCAGCACAGATTGGAGTGGCCCAGATTTCGGCAAAGGTTGTTGTCCAACGATGGGGTCCGCACCATTCCAAATAACGAGGTGTTTACCTCTGAACCAGCGAAGTCCTACGGATTCGGGTCCCATTTTGGCCGGCTGGCATGAGGAAAAGGATTCTGAGGTGAAGAGTTGCTCCAAGACCCTCGTTGCTCGTTGCTCTGAACCGTAGATGGAACATGCAGGCATGCCAAGCAGCTCAAAACGGGCATGTAGAGATCATCCGGCTGTTGTTTGAAGCTGGCACAACGAAAGTTGACAACGTTGGCCCTTGCAGCTGGCTGCGGCCATGCAAACTGTGTCCGTTTGTTGACTGAAGCTGAATCTGTCGTCAACCATGCGTCCGACAACATGGAGGCAAACACTCCCTTGTCAGGGGCTGCTGAGGGGGCATTCCAAAATCTATTCTCTTGCTGATCAAGGCCACGGCTGACGTGAAGGCATAGAATACAGCGTGCGCCATGCCCTTCCGATACATTTAAACCTTTAAACATTGGGCCTTTGACGGCATCCTCCCCTTTTCCCGTGGTGTTCATGTCGGATTTGCCGCTGTCGTGGCGGTTTCGTCCTCTTGTTCCAGGTCGGAGCAACGCTGACGAGCTCCGAGGGCCGAGTTCTTCAAGGTGGGGAAGAACGAGCGAACCCCTCGGCGTCGCGCGGGGCTCCCTGGAAAAGATGAGAATTCGTGGCGCGTTTTCAGGGTGGTGTTGACCAGTTCAATGTGGGGGCAAAGCCTGGGCCCAGCTTGGTAGGTTGACGTCTCTGGAAGGTTGACTTCAGGTTGACTCTTCTTCTTAAGCAATTAGTTATTTTCATAATATATTTTCATATGTTCCGAAAAGGTTACGTCAAAGGAAATCAAAGAAGGTTGTTTCACCTGGCAGCGGATACTCGCCAATCAATGAGTTGATGGACGCATCTCGAGGAACTACCGAACACTCAAGGGGGTGTTTTCAATTGATGAGACACCCCCACCACCCCCATGGGGTTGTTTGCAGTTAATGGGTCATTGAGTCATTGGGGGGTCATTGTAGACGATGGGCATGATTGTCCGTGTTGGAATTGATTTGGTCATGACAATCGCCTACAAATCTTTTGTCCAACTTTCCAAATCGTTTGTCCACTGATTCGTTTGTCACAAATTTTAGAATATAGTGTATTATAGTGTCATGATATTTCATGATTCTTTTGTCAATTTTCCTTTGATTTCTTACCTGTCATATCAGGTGAAGAGTTCGTGGATGCCTGATCCTCGGCTTCTGGTGCAGAATTTTCAGGCTACAAAAACAGTCTACTATCCGATATCCCGATATCCATGTTGTTTTATGTTGTTTTCCAATACAGCTTTCCAAGGTTCGAGTCTTCAACCGGGATCAGCTTGTGTGCAACATTGAAGGCGCTTCCGTTTGTTGGACTTGTTTTATGTTTTTAACATGTTTCTATGTCTTCAAACACGGGGCTAAACTTGTTACGGCATCGCGAAAAGACCACCGACCTCAACACACAGAGACAGAGACCGACCTCGAATGTTGCATCGAATGATTCGAATGCAGGCCTTTCCTTGGCCACGATGCACGTTGGAGTGCCTCTCAAGAGTGGCCGCGCCGTGTGGCAGGCGAGACGGCGACGTCGAGACGCGCGGTTGGAAACACGGGCGACGACTTGGGCGAGTCGACTCGCTGTGTGGCGACTGGTCGCTGTGTGGCGGATGGGTTTTGTAGGAGACGGCACAAGCTCGACGGTCCTGCTGGAGGATTGTCTCTTGGCGAAAGAATCGAGCTGGAGTCGAAGATGTGGAAGAATGTGGAGCACATGCAGTTGAGAAGCGACGAAAGATTCTCATGACGTCGATTCGGTCTGCAAACTTGCCAAGAACCCCTCCAGCTGGGTCAATCCTTGGGAAAGCGCACATATGCAGGGCTGCAGGGCCATCAAGTCCGCGATTTGGGCCATTGAGGTGGGAGAAGAAGTGAAGAAACTCCATTTGCCTGATGTCACTGCCACTTGGCTGCCTGGGCCGATAATGCGTTTTGTGATGAGATGTGGCTCAGAACATTGAGACCGCTAGGGACCTGCAGCAGTTAAACTCGTCATCCTTTCCACACAAGGTTGATGGGGCATCCATTTGTTTCATTTCACACGGTCTGGAGTTCTCAGAGTCCTGGAATTTCACCCATGTTCACCCATCTATTTTCTCTTTGTTCCGCGTTCTCCGCCTTTTCTCTTTTTAGCTCCGCTTTTCATGTGGAGTCGTCACGTGGGGTCTCTACTCGAAGGAAAAGGAGGAGGAGCCGCACGAGGCGGTGGCCATGGCCGTGAAGGCCCGCAGCCTCGAGGATGTGACGCTTGGTGACGGCCCAACGACCGACGGCCGGCCCGGACCCGGTCGAGGGCGGGGACCGTCGTCCGGTCCACCCGGGGCAAACAAAAACATCGGTTGACCGCGGACAGCGAGCGTTTTTTGGGCGACCCCGGTGGTTTTTTTGGAGTTCAGGTCAGGTCTTTTTTCGTCCCCTTTTTCTCATATGATATGAGTCATATCGCTTTGTTTTCTCGCATCTTGGTGAAAGAAGGTTCCAGCACCAGAAAGAAGTGCAAACATATTAAAGTATGCAAACATTTCTCCTTAATCCAGGTGCATGTATGACAAACTTCCTGTTGGACTGAGCCAACGCCAACGGCTCGCCTCAGGAAGCGCTGCCAGGAGGAAGTTCGCAGCCTTGCGGCCAAATGCCGTTGCTGGGTGCTTTGCCTGGAAGAAGAAGGCACGGAAGGTGAACTGCTGCAGAAAGCATTTGGTTTAGCGGTTTGGCGCTTTGGCGGGAATCGATGTGGAGTTCCATGAGTGGTCGTAAATTTTAATATACTGTACTGTTTGTGAATCTGAAGAAAGAGGCCTAACTCAAAGCCTGAAAGAGGACGCAGCGATTCAGAATCCACGTTGTGAGATTCTTTGACATCGATCAAGGTGACAAGAATTCAGAAATTTGACATCATGCGAATTGAGTGACAAGAATTTGAGAGGTCGCTCCTTTGAACTGGTTGACCGGATCTGAGCAGGCTGCTCCTTTGCAGAAGCAGCTGCAGAGGCAGCCGTCGAGGTTGGGGTTTCCAGCTTCTTGTTTCCCATCTGACTCTGCAGTGCAACAGCTAAAAAGCATGCAGAACTGGTTGCGCATAGAAATCCCATGTCCGGTTTGACGTTTCCGATTTTGAGACGCCTCCATTGGCCATCTACCAAGGAGAAACACAGCAGTGTCGTTGCTTCGCTGGCAGAAACCTGACACGCCGAGGTTGGTGCCATGGCGGTCATTGGCACTGCGTCGCAATGCTCCGAACTGTCCTTGGAGTTGGGAATGGATGCTACAGCTCGGGCCTCGTATGGATGCTACAGCAATGCCCTTCTCGTAGTCAAAATACACCCGCGCATGCGGGTGTGTCTTTGTCTCTCTTTTCTCACTCTCTCTGTCTTGAACTCTTTCGTTTGTTTCATTCGTATTTTTTGGAGACACTTTTCCTTGGCCTCGGTCCTTTCTTTCCTGCAGCCCTAAGTGCTGTGACGCGTTCGACACATCTGATTGCACCGAGTCCACACTGCGCATCGTCGACGAAGACGGCCCCTGGGGCGGCAGGACTTCAGGCTTTTGCTGGTGTAAACACCACTGCAGCCACGGCGGTCCTGGAAAAAAAAGAGAGAGCGTTCAAACCAATGTGTCAGAATCATTGATTGATTTGGGATGATGTGGGACCAAACTCGACATTCGTTGGTACAAGACTGAATTCAGACAAGCACGCTCTTGGCTGCACGTAGGGAGTAGAAACGAGTGGTGAAGTCTCAGATTGTGGCAAGTGAAGGGGTAAGACGGGTAATGATGTAGAGTAGGTTGGGGATGTCAGAGGTACAGTAGCTAGCTGTGTTGTTCAGGGTGTTGTCCAAATCTTTCGTGTCACCAGCCCAAGTCCGAGGCCACTTGAAGCTGCTTCGACATGCGGTGGTGGCTGCTGATCGACCCGCAGCCCTGGTCGCCTCGAGGACGGAGCCTGTTTCACCCTGCTAGGTTGACCCCCTCACTATATAGTCCATTTTATTCTGATTTTTTGAAGAGTGGTCAGCCTGACAACCTGGGTTCCTTCGGGTTTTGACCCACAGCCATTTGGATGTCCAATTTTCACAGCCCAACCTAGTCTCGTTTCTGGGGTTCCTGGGGCTCCTCGGGCTGGCTTGCGGAGGGTCCGGTTTGGGGGCTGTGTCTTTTTTGAGGTGCGAACCCTATGTGGTGGAGATTGACTCCTCCAAGGCTCACAAGGGAGCCCAGCCACTTGGTGAAGATTGTCTCGTCGAACACGCAAGAAGGGGGTATGATGGGGTATGTGTGTCGTTAGAGCCATCTTTATTTACTGTAGCTTTTGAGATCTTTTGAGCATGAAAGAATAGAAGGTGGAACGAGGATGAAAGGGGATCTCTATCTGCTTGCACGCAAAGCCTTGTTTGTCGCGGCGCTCGAACAGCGCTTCGACACCTGCGCTTCGGCACCGCTTCGACGTCACCGGTCAGGTGCCGACTCTGTGAACGTCGAAGCCCAGGGCGAGGAGAGGTGGAGATTCACAGCTCCTTCTGGGCCTTGAACTTCCGTGCCGAAGCCGCGCTGAGCTTCGTTGGACCGTCTGAAGACGGTCTAGAAGAGGGGGTGAGGGAGGAAGATGGTGGACTTGGACTTGGAAAGAGGGTGGAGGACAGGGGTAGTAGACAGGTGGAAGACTTGGGATGTGGGAAGCAGAAACTGCTCTTAGCTCGCTCCCAGGTGATGTGCTTGTGGCCGTTGGTGCTATCTCCGCGAATGTGGGTGGCACCTCTTTGGGGCTGGGTGGGGAATGCTATGGCACGGTGACAGCAATAGGCCGGCACAGAAACATAAGTTTCTGATTTTTGCTGACATGAGTTTGTCCTATTATATACCTGCTACAGTCAGTATGCAAGGATCACAACTTTAGAATAGAATAGGTCATTGCTAACAATAGTAACAAAAATAATAATCATCATCCACTGTTGCTGGCAATAGGATAGACGGATAGACCCAAGGTTTGTGTGACATGTTTGTGTATCTCTTGATCCTTCATTTCCCAACCGGTTCTTGCTTTGAAGATCCAAGCGTTGGAGAGAAGTCCTGTCTCTCCAAGCACAGGCGAGGGTGTAACTGATTTGGCCGTTGGCGACGTGGTCATTGCAACACCTCCAGATGGCATGGGTTGCTCGCATATTGTGGTGTTCAGACATTGGTTGCGGATGCCTTGCTGAAGCTGCTTACAAGATGCGGAAAGCAAAAACCATTCTTCACAGTCAAAGCTGCCACTAAGTCATGCTAAGTCACAGAGTGACAGTTTTCCAAAGGTTCCTACCTTGTGGCGGACGCGCGTGTGGTGACCAAAGCTCCCGAGTCCATGAGCCCGGAGGAGGCCGTCGCAGGCGGAATCGGTGGGGAGGTCTGGTGTTTTTTAGCGCCTGAAACCTTAAATCTGTTTGAACCTACTAGCGATGGCCTCCAACCCATCCAAACCCGCCTTTTCATCCTTTTTCTTGGCAGGTGGGAAAGGGATGGAAGGGGTGTCCGGGGGCAAGTGAAGTCTGTCAGACCCGAACAGATATTTTTTTCATATTTTTATCATTTTTCCAGACGTGGGAATGGGGCGACCAAAGGATGGTGAAGAACGCAATTTGACCTTCCATGTGTTTCTCTTCTCTTGTAGTACAGCCTTTCTCAGCGGCCATTCTGGTCAAAGTGCTGAAGGTTTCGAGCTTGCAGATCTCCCGCGGCAGTAGGAAAGCATGTTGCTCAGATGATATGACTTGCGACTCTTGCGTCCTTTTGCCGATCAACCCCCGCCGTGCCAGTACGGTTTGGATGTGTTTGCCCACCTGCGCCAGGCACCTGCGCCTATGCCACAGCCTGGTTGGCCTTGCACTGGATGGCACGCATCCGTGCAGGTGAACGCGTCCGGGACGCCCAGGACGACGTCCGCTTCCGGTGTTTCCGTCCGTGACGGCGTTTCCGCCCGCGTCAGGTCCTGATCCACAGCGCGGCCGGTGGCGTGGGGCTGGCGGCGGTGCACCTGTGCAAGAAGGTGAGGCAGAACAGAACACCGAGGAAACAGACCGATGAGTCACCCCAGTCAACAGCGACCCTGATTTGAGAAGTTTGGTCTCTCAGGGACTTAGTGCTCAGAGGGAAGGGGTATAGCAGGACTAAGCGAAGAAAAAAGGCAACACATGAATGATTGAAATACACTTTGGTGTTTGCCTCAATCGCGTCCTTGCCTCAGGTGGGCTGCGAAGTATATGCAACAGCTTCCACTGAGGCCACTCGAAGTTGCGGGGGTTGCTCTGTCTTGAAGTTTTTGTTCGCAACAGGGACTTGCGTCTTTGCTTTGCTGTTGAATCCAGGAAAAGCGAGCACTTTTGCGGCAACTGGGTGCGCAAGTGTTCCACAGCAGGAAAGTTGCTGACTTTGAGGAAGGCATTCTGGAGGCGCCACCGCTGAAAGCCAATTGGGGGTATAACTATGTACAAAAAAACTTTTATATAACCGCATATACTTATGTATCAAACAAGCTCCAACTACACTGCTGAACTTCGCTCTGCCCCCGAAAGAGTAGTTCCTGAAAAGAAGCCCGAGCGCTTTCGCTTGGGCATTCGAAGATCTCAACGGTGCCCGAATCGCGTTCCGGCCAGGCGACGGACGGCGAAGGGGTGGATGTGGTGCTCAACTCTCTCAGTGGCAAAGCGATCCCCGCATCTTTGAACCTGTTACTTTGATCGAACGCGGAAGATCCGCCAAACGGTCGAAGAAGTCCAACGCTTCAAACGGGCCAAACGGGCCTCTCTTGTTTTTTTTGGCCGGATGGAACAGGCGAACATGTGATGTTTCGGCTTCAAGGTCTGTTCTTTCTTCTAAGGCCACTCTGTGGGTATCTCTAAGTGTTTTTAAATCAAAAAGGTACACTTTTCAAGGGCGCTGATCTTCCTCAGTCCTGAGAACAGGCCGAGAGAGTCGTTTGCGTGTCGAGGCTGCGCGACTTTGGGCGATTTGTGGAGATTGGCAAACGCGACCAGTATGAAGGCACTCAAATGGAGCTGACTCCCTTCTTGAAAGGCTGGGAGAACATGAGAACATGACCACTTCAGAATTGCTAGCTCGTAGATCTGAGGTAAACCTTAATCTATCAGACTCAGACCTAAATAGCTTCAAGAATGTCTGAAGTTTCAAAGCATAAAGCAAAAAGCACGGCAACAGCATCTGGCCTCCGGAGCCGTCTTATTTTCCCGTCTTTTTCATGCCCAAACACCAGGCATCTCCTATCACGCGGCCCACTTCGACGTTCTCATGTTAAAACGCCCTAATGAGTGCCGGCGGCTGCTGGAGGAGGCACGGACCGGCTGGGAGGGCGACGGCGGTTCCAGCGCGATGGGATGGATGCCCGCATGGAAGTACCAAAAACATAGAGAATAGATTCAGGTGGCATGGCAGGTATGGGAAGGGCCAATGCAGTGAACTCATGGGTTTGCAATCAACTTTTGTAACAAAATGGAGTGCCCTCCATGAGTCGCAAACACATTATGCAGTGTTTCTTTGAGTGAACTCATGGTTTCGAGGTCTGGGCCGAGCTGCCCAACTTGCCGCGCTTGCCCACCAAGACCTTTGGCATGGCCGAGCTCAAAGGTGGATTTGGCATGTCTGGATCTGCATTTTGTGATGTTTCTTTCACAGTGTATATATTTATGTTCCTGCCGAAGTTGACTTGGGACTGAGTGCAGATCACAGCGAATTTGGAATGCTGAGCTCAAACACACACTACACTGACGCTCAAAACGTTGACCAAGAAAGTAAAATGGAACGGTGAACACATTTTCCTGACCACGCGAGTTCGTGAACACATCTTGCTCGAAATGAACATTTGTATTTTTGACGACAAACGCATTATTTTGTTGTGTTTTTCTAAACTTTAAAAGCATTGTAACTACCAAGCCGAGTAATTATTACATGTTTTTCCACAACCTGCAGTGCTTTTGCAGGCTCGAAAATAGAACTGTGTATGTTGGCGAAATATACGTCCATGTTTCAATCGCAAGGGTTTATGTTGGCAAAGGTTATTGTTCAAGTGCTGCCGAAACAGCCAGACTTATGTATTATTACATACGCTACAAACGGTACAACATATACATTGGATTTGTAGCTGAAAAGTACCATTGTATACATTGGCAGAGAATATTCACCCTTGTTTCGACGGCAAAGATTATATGCGATGAATGCGTAACTTGAGTTCAAGAACACACGCTTGAGTTCAAGAACATACGACATTATATTCGAAGTTCCAGTTCCAATGACGAAACACATACAAGGTCCTTGCACGCTTGAAAATACAACTGCGTACGTTTGCAACATATACTGTACTTCCTTTTTTCCGATTTTTAACTGCTGCAGAAACAGCCGGACTTATCTGTTATTCTTAGTATTCTATAGGCTATAAAACGTAGAACTCATACATTGGTTTTGTAGCTCGAAAATACAATGACAAAACAGTATAGGTTGGCTGCAGAAACAACAGGACTTATATAATATATATTATTTTTAGTATTATAGATGATGTAAAAGGAACATAGGCGAAATACGCCCCATATTAAACATGTTGCGAATGGATAGATAACTGTTTTTCAAAGCCATTGTAATTTTCCAGGCTTAGTATGACATGAATTTCCAGAACATGTAGTGCATTTGCCGGCTGGAAACGACAACTGTGTACGTTGGAGCAAGCGTCACGCGTGCCCCATGTGTGCTGTGAGTGATCGTGGGGTTGCTGCAGCAGCCTTTCTGTTCCTGTCTATGTGCAGCTCATATGTTGCAACATGCCAGCCGCTAAGTACTGTGGCTTGTTTGATTTGATTACATGCCAACTATATTCCAGCGTGAAAGGAATTCGGATAAACCACAATGTAGAGGGCACGGGTTCAGATTCTCCTTACAACCCTCACTACGCTACAAAAAGACGAGAAGAAGGGGAAAACACGGAGAAACAGCAGGAAAAGCACACCAAGCAAGAAAGAAGGCACAAAAAGCAGCAAAAGCAAGGAAAAAAAGATGATTCACAAAGAAGCACAATGAAAAGCAAGGAAAATCAACACAAGCACGGCAAAGCACGGGAAAGCACGAAAAGCAGGACAAGCACAGAAAAGCAGGAAACGCAAGAAAAGCAGAGAAGCAGTGAGAAGGAAGGAAGAGCAAGACAAGCACAGAAAAAGAAACAATAAACGGAAAAACGTTAAGTCATCCTCCATTTCTAAATTTTCCAACCACTCCTTCATGTCGACCATAAAGCAGTTGATGCAAAATTCTTCACATTTCGCCTAGGCAACAACTGCTTCAACCTGGCAAAGCAAAAAAAGTGACCCCAGGCCCAGAGCAGGAGACCAGGACCAGGGCGAAGGCAGGCGTGCAAAGCCACGCAACATACACTTAAATTTGATTGACATGAGGGATTTCGTAAAACCGTCTCAAAAAAACCCGTCTGGACAATTATATCAATCTCTCTCTCTCTCTATATAAAATATATCTCAAACTTAAGAGTACATGTATATGAAAAGATACCTAAAAGTGAATCGCCTATATTTATCGCTCGCATTTTTTCAGGCGCGTAATGCTGTCTGGAAATCCAAGGTGCCTTGGAATACTTTGCCAAAGGCATCCACATCGGCAAGGTCTTGGTGGCGGTTGAGGATGGCGTCCCTGTGCTGCCCAGGCGGCCTCAAGTGGTGGGTCCCACTGGAGAAGCTTGGACGGTGAATCTTCAGCTGAAGAGGGAAAACCACAACGAACCCTTCCAACGTTCTATCGGCGCTTGTGGGTGGGGATGTTCTTTTTCGACCAAGTAAGGATATCGTCACGCAATCTTTGCGGGCTGCCGGCACAGAAGAAGGCATCGTTCTCAGCGTCGCTGTTTCGGAACATGCTACTAGGAGCAAGAACGCTACTAGGAGCAAAGGGCATCGCTACTAGGAGCAAGAACGCTACTAGTTTCACCGTGGGTCGCTCGCTGGTCCCGGTCGCTCCGGCATGCGGGATGCAGATCCCAAAGGAAGCGTTTTGGATATGTTTTCATCGTTTTTCACCGCTGACTCTTTAGGTGGCATGATTGTGCATTGTGTGCAGTGCCTCGAAGACGTCCCGGAGAACCTGCACCAAGCGCAGATGGCCACGAACTGAGCGTATGAATGCAGAACAAAAAAGAAACGCACCGAAGTGTTTTTGGTTTTTCTCTCCCCTCAGGACAGGACATTTTCCCTGTTGCAGATGGTTCTTGACCCGAAACGGGGGGTGTCACTGGGAAGATCCTAGTAGACTGGAAACCTCAATTTGATCTCCCTAAATTTGATTCAGCTGCAACAACGCAGGTTAAATCCCATGTCCACTAAGGTTGTCACCACTTCCAGATCTGTAGCAGCTGTGCTAAAGGAGTTGAACCCAGAGGCCATGCAACCAAGTAGCCTGATGCAGCCGGCTTGCCAATCCGGAGATTCACGAAGAGTAGCATTCATGATTTTCATAGATTCATGTACTGTATATAGTTGTACTAGCAAGTAATATCGAATTCACTTATCCAGACAACAGGCTTATCAGAGACAGCATATGAGCAGCCCACAAATCTTCTGTAAAGGTACTTTGACGATGAGCTGCTTGAAGTATTTCTGAATTGATCAAAGGCTTGCAAAACCAAAAGGGACCAACCCCATCCAGATTCCCTTTCTTGATTGAAAGTGGACCATTGCCTGCATTTTGCAATACTGGACATTGATGGGGGTAATCCCAAAAGGCATCAATATCTATTTTTCAACTGCTACGCTCAAGAGCGGGTGATGTCCTCAGCTCTGCGCTGTGCGGCAAAAGCCGAGTGTTCCGCCAGGCTGGCTGCATTGTGCTCCCTCAATGGGAGCCTCCGAGCAATTTAGACGAGTGGCTCACCTTGGGAGGACTGAATACAGCCGACTGAACTGCATCCGATCCAATCGAGCAGAGTCTGAGGCAGAGTTGGAAACCTTCGTGGTCGTGCCAGAGCTTTTGCTTGAAAACAACTCAAAGTCATCATTTTCCACCAGACCCTGCGCACCATACGAGGACTCATCATCACATCCGAAGACGAACCTGAAGGCGATTTGCGTCAAGCCCTGAGCAAGTCGTTGCCGACGGCGTAGCAGCATGGGAGGGCGTCCAGTGTTTGGGAGGGTGTCTTTCTGTGTCCGCTTTTGAGGTCGTTTCAGCGGTCGTTTCAGGGGTCCCTCACTTGAGTCGGAATGGATCTTGAGGTGGCTGGCTCTTCAGCATCGTCGAAGAGATGGCGGGCCCCATCGAGATGGACACGACCTTCGAAGATGCAGGCGGCACGCGCGGCACGCGCGGCACCCGACACGAAGTGATGACCTCCAACCTAATAGCGATGGCCTCCACCTAGTAGCATCCTTGTTCCTAGTAGCGATGGCCTCCACACTTTGCAACCAAGTGCGAGCGCACATGGGCACTCAGGCCAGTCCTGCGATGAGTGTCTCGAATGTCACATGCGAAATCGCACCGGCTCGGGGGACTTGGGCTCAAGCCAGGTGGGGCACGTGTGGTGACTCGGCAGGGCCGGTCATGGCGAGAGTTGCCGTGCTCTCTTCTCTGCTACTTGTGGCTTGTGGCCAGAACAATGAAGTAGGAGATGAGAATTGTCCATGCCCAGCCTTCCAGCAACCTTCCGACCTGTGTTTGCAGTGTCACAGCACTCGCTGTGACATCGGCGGTTCTGCCTTGGGGAGCTGGTTGCAGAAGCAGTCTTGGGGCACCACGGCAGGTCAAGCGTGGACACGGCACTGCCAGAAGCTCTCAAAGACGTATCCCCACATGTCGACCCAGGCGCTGTGTCAAACTACCACCAATCCATGTGGATCTGTGTGTGCGACGGAGCCCATCGATTCAGATTGTCATTCCGTGTGCAACCAGAATGTTGGACGAGCAGCACATGCCTGCTCCAGCTTTCCATGGCCAACTCCGATCAAAACGGCAGTTGCTTTGCAACACCTTCCCGATGTTTTCACCTGACAATGCCCGCAAATGAAAAGGAGAGGAGTGAGCCAAGTAAGATCAAGTGAGGCCGAGTGAGCTGAGTAGGATGAATATAGATGAAGGATGACGAACAGGTCAACACCAAAACAAGGTACGTGCTTGCCGCTGAACATGTGCCGCTGAACGTGTTTTTTTCCAGGTCTGGACTCCTTGAGCCTCATCTCACTGGCCAGGAGATTGTCCTCAAAGGTCAACAAGGTCGGTCTGACCAAGCCACACCACATACAGCAAGAACGGATTTCAGTCTGCTGCACTGTTCAATTGGTCGAGGTCATCACTGTGGCAGACCTCTCCGACAATCCAACACCACGCCAGACACTGAGCAGCTGAAGCCGCGTGGGGCTACAGGCATCGCATGGCTAAAAGGAAGAGAATGACGACCCGAGGCAAGCTACTCGAGTCTTTCACTGGCGGACCGCTGCCCTGCCCTTAGCTTTGCTTTCACACCAAGATACATGCGAGGACCCTGAGACTAAGCTAGCCTGAGACTTTTCTCAGGCTATGATCACTTGTCCCCAATAGCTCGTACCACTTCGCCTTTATACTTGGCACTTGAACATGGACTTAATTGAAACGACTTCCCACACATCTATTGAGAGGGTATATCAACCTAGATTTACCTTTGCACCGCGGAATCCATTTACATCCATTTACATTCACCTTTCCATCTGGGAACATGGAATCGGGATCCCCATGTAATCCCCATATTTCCCCACTGAAGAACCCCTGGCCCGAAGTGCCCCGCCCGAGGCCCGAAGTGCCACGCCCTCGGGTGGTGTGTCTCCACGGCTTCCGCTCCAACGGAGACGCCCTCGCCGCCCAGATGGGTCCGATGATCAGCCGCGCCGGCGAATGCTTGGCCATTCGATGTTTGGACGTTGGAACAGGTTGGGGAGGACGGATCCTTCGTTGGGCGGTCCTTTCCGATCGTTGGAGCTCGGGTTTTCGGTCCTTTCCGGATCTGTTTGGGCACGGCTGTGGGCCATACCTGGCATTGATCTTGGCCGATGGGTCGTGACAGGTCATTTGGGCATGATGGAGTGGGTCTTCCTCACTTCGCCGCGTCTGGGCACTGGCCCTGCTGCACCTCACATCTCAGATGGTCGAGAGCCGGGGTCCAAAGCTCGAATCTGTAGTTCCAGGAGTTCCATAGGGATCATAGGGTCTTTAGATTTTAGATCCCAAGCTTTGCCCATGAGTGTATCATGGGCACCCCATTGGAGGGCATCCCTCTGGAACTCCTCGGTTCAATCGTTTTCTGCACTTTCTTTCGCAATTTCACTTGAGAAGCTCTATAGGGGCATTTGCTGGTTTTTTGGGTTGGCTGGGAATTCATCGAGTTTGGGTGAGGTGGTGGGGCTCGGGTGACTTTGAGACAGGCGCGCGGGCGGGCGTTTTCGTTCTGTTTGGAATGCAGATTCATGGATCTTGGGAGTGGTTTGGCCTGGAGGTTGGCCTTGATCTGATCCTCAACCCCTTGAGGTTGGCAGAGGAACTACGAGGCCCTCACTGCGACGCTGCCCAACGTCCGCGCCGTGAACGCCGTGGGCGCCGTGGGCTTCTCGCAGGGTGGCGCAGTGGCTGCTTTGCTGGACCGACGCGAACGTGTTTGACGTTGCTGGTTTGTACAGATTGCAATCCTCTTAACCGGTTTTCCCCACATTGCATCCATATGCTCTACAGATTCAGACCTTTGAGCATTTGACAGGACTGCTCCTGGAGAGTTCTTTTCTCTCCAGTGAAAGTGCCCGGTCTACGACCTCAATCTTCTGCTTGCCTCCTGACCTACGATGAAAACGAAGAGTACGTGGAAGAATGTTCCTTGGATCGGCCCGGTGGTTTTGTGCTGCCAGGTTTCCAGTGGCCTCAGCCCCAGGGAAGACGGTGTTTCACGCCATGGTGAAATGGTCCAAGATTCCGTGTGGAATCTTCGCGAAAAGCGAAGGGACTCGGGAGGTGATGGGATACGCCCTGGAGAAGCTTTTTCCCCAATAGCCATGCTATGGGGTCTTGCAAAACTAATAGGCGGACGGGCGCCGTCGGGTCACCGTCAGAGCTGGTGGGCGGATGGTGTCCCGGTCATGTTTTGATGGCGTCCGGGTCATGTGATGCTGGTGTCCCGGTCATGTTTTGATGGTGTCCCGATCATGTTTTGATTGTGACCCAGTCATGTTGTGATGGTGTCCCGGTCACCTTGTGATGGTGTCCCGGTCATGTTTTGATGGTGTCCCGGTCATGTTTTGATGGTGTCCCGATCATGTGATGGTGGCGCGGTCATGTTGTGATGGTGTCCCGATCATGTTTTGATTGTGTCCCAGTCATGTTGTGATGGTATCCCGGTCGTGTTTTGATGGTGTCCCGGTCATGTTTTGATGGTGTCCCGGTCATGTTGTGATGGTGTCCCGGTCATGTTTTGATGGTGTCCCGGTCGTGTTGTGACGGTGTCCCGGTCATGTTTTGATGGTGTCCCGATCATGTGATGGTGGCGCTGTCATGTTGTGATGGTGTCCCGATCATGTTTTGATTGTGTCCCAGTCATGTTGTGATGGTGTCCCGGTCCTGTTTTGATGGTGTCCCGGTCATGTTGTGATGGTGTCCCGGTCATGTTTTGATGGTGTCCCGGTCGTGTTGTGACGGTGTCCCGGTCATGTTTTGATGGTGTCCCGGTCCTGTTGTGATGGTGTCCTGGTCATGTTTTGGCGGTGTGCCGGTTATGTTTTGATGGTGTCCGGGTCATGTGACGGTGTCCCGGTCATGTTGTGATGGTGTCCTGGTCATCTTGTGATGGTTTTCCCGTCATGTCATGTTGGTG